GACATACTTAGTTTCTCTTAATATTTTCACTGTTCTAAATCACGCCCACACATTTTTGACCTAAATGCATAAAATCCGCTGCCTAATTATGACACATTTTCTGCTGTGTTTAGCACAATGTAATCTGTTTTCATGCTTTCGTAAGTTCATGAACATCTTCAGTCATAAAACATTGGAAATAATGGAAAATATAGCTTTTTTTGGTTTCTCTTTAAATATCGGTGAAAATGTAAAAGTTGCTTCGAGTTTGTAATTATTCAGAGCACAGTAGGTGGCCTCCTTTAACTGAGACAGTCTGTATATTTAAAAAGAAGAAACTCAACAAAAACCAAAAAAGAAACTATATTTGTATATTTCTATTTTCTATTATTTCTAATAATATTTCTTTATTATTTCTTTACTATTTCTTTATTATTTCTAATACAAATATGATGTTTCCTTGTTTTCGTTTAAATATCACAAAAGCCGTAAAAGTTATCTTGCGTGTACAATTATTCGCACCACTGTACATTGTTAACAATTTACGAGCAGTGAAAGTGTGTTTCGTTTATTCGCGTCTCTCTCCAGCCTTTGTGCTCGCAGAATGCTGTCTGCAACGATAGCTTTTGTTTAGAAATTAATTAACGCGACAGAACCGATCGAAGCAGACACGAACGCGGTGCTACGTCGTGTTTGTCGATTCGTGTTTGTCAATAGGCGATAATGGCGGGATGAATTGTGTCGGAATTAACGGGAGAAAGTTTCGTCATTAAATACATCGACGCCGTTTGATGTAATTAGTAGTTGAATAGCCTGTACCCTCTTCCATTGACGATCACTGTTTACGGAACATAAAGTATCGCACAGTCAGTCCACCCCTTTTAATTACGGCATAGGTATAATTAGAGTCATTGTTTCGAGGCGCACGGGTTCGTATCAATTTATAAATATCGCTCGAGTGACGACTTTTCTCCCGCGGCGGACGTGCACGGAAAATTACCAATCGCGAAGGGAAACGGTTTCTGATCGATGCTGCGCACGGAAAAATGCTCTCTCGTTTCATCTTTGCGTTCAGAAAAGATCATTCGGTTCTGGCGCATCGATCCGTATCGATCCAGATGTACTTTCGAGCGTATAGCCGTATAAGATTGCCGAATCTAATATAATCTAATATTGATCTAATAGAAACCAAATGTAATCGATCTTTTTTCAAGACAATCGATAGAATAATAAAAGACTATTCGATATTCTACATTATGGGACACGTCGCTTCGAATGATTTCTGGAATTTTTAGTTTCACGATTAATTTTTTTTCTATATCAAGAAGCTTGAAATGGCTGATTTTGTGTATTGGAATTGTCAAGGTTATTTCATATCTAGAAAGATATGATCGTGGTCACTTGACAAATCCGATATAAAATACAAAACAGTGAAGAAATACAAAAGATAATAGCGTCTTGTTGTTAGACCACGATTGTTTATGCAAAATGACAATCTTTTGAAATCGTTGCAAGCAACAGAAGTCGCATGACAATTTATTGTCTTTTGTACATCGAAATGAAAAAATATTCTAAAGTTCTTTCGAGCTTTTACTATATTTTACCAAAACAATCATACACTTATAGATAGATCATAGAAATAATTTTCATTTCATGCTTTAACTGAACCATTTATTCTGTTGTTAACAATTTGTTCAAGCGTTTTGTAAACATAGTCGCAGAAAACCGATAGTTCGCGCGGTATCTAAAAACGGAGAACTAATTTTCGGCCGAGGAGGGAAAACTACGAGACTCCAAATATTTGCACAATTATTATCTAATCGCACAGATATATTTAATCGGTGACTGCAGCGTTAGAAATATCTGGCGCATTGAATAAATAAAAAGAATTCGGTATCTGCAAAACAATTACGCTATTTTCAGTCGATAGCATACAAATCATCTTCGCGGATAACGCGTACTTATCGAGAATATCGTATTTGAGAAAAATTAGCTAGACGCATATAGAGCTGGCCTGACCTCGCGGATCCACGCGTACTAAGTTAATCAAACAGAAAACTTCAGATAACAGGGACAGGCAGCGAAATGCTTGGACTTCTGTGCGATTGTTAATTCGTCTTCTTACCGATGTGTACGTATTCGCGTGCAATAAAGATATCGTTGCAATCCGTCCGCCGGTTTATTGACATTAACGAGACCAAATATTTTGGTTGCATTCGGAGTCTACGGCAATCGTCGCTTGCAATTAGCCGTTTCGAAACTGTGAGATCGACTTTAACACTAAACCTACCAAGCAATAATACTAATTGGCATGTACCGCTTCACAAAAGTGAGAAGACCGAATTTATTTAGAATTTGTAGAGTTTTTATTATAAAACTTGCTCCAATAATATAACCCTTTGCACTCGAAGCCATTTTAACTGTAAATCTAAATTAACTTTTCTGACTTATAGTATTTCCATTTTATATGACAAAGTGTATTTATGTATTATTATATATATTATTATTATTATATTATTATATTATATATATTATGTATTCATGACTCATACAACAGTTAGACTTTTAACAAGCTTTTTATATCTAAGCTTTGATAATATAAATATTATCTTGGAACATGATGTAACAATTTTAGTGGTGCCTCAGAGTCACCACTCGTGTGCAAAGGGTTAACTTATTCAAGCGTTTTCCACGAAAGAGTCTCGGAACTTTGCGGAATTGCAAAATAAGAAAGCGGTGTCACTTTGACCGCGGTAGGTTTAGCGTTAAATCAAATGATCCTGCGCGAAGAAATGAATTCACCGTTTGGTGAATGACTTTGTTTCTCAGAGAATTTCAGTTGCCGGTCTGTGCACAGGAAGCATTTAGGATATTTACGTGCGCGCGCGTGCAACGAAAGGTTTAATCTGTATTTAATGAGATCCATGTTTTCAGTTTCAGAGGTTCGTTTCCGTCGTCGTTTGGTCTACGCTTAATTCGCGCGGAGATCCTCACTTTGCTAATTAGAAAGCTCGTCGGACACGCGTGCACTTTAGCCGGGCATCGTTTAGTTAGTCATGCGCGCGCTCGTTACAGTTTATTTTTACTTGTGCCCCGATGTTTGTAAACATCTACAATGGTGCGGCGTTCCTAGTATTCCTGAATAATTTAGTTCGAAATGATAACGGGCGGATAGCAACGTCGAGGGAAAACAGATAACGCCGAGCCGCGACAAATGTTTATTATAAAGTAGAAACCATGAGTAATAGGCATGCGTCGATAGAATTTTCGGTGTATGTGTGCGGCAGCAGTCCTCGCGAGCGGAGTTTCGCGCGGAATGACGTTATTGCACGTGTTCGATTTCATTTGTTCATGTGGAAAAATCGGTTTTGCATCGTAAGCGTTTTATAAATCGATGATAAATCTGTTAGTACTAGTTTATTCTCGATGGTTCGAGGAAACGATTTTGAAACTGCTGCACGATGATATTAAAAATTGTTCTTGCAGCGTTGATTTGATTTTGCTCGATGAGAAGCCAATTAATTTTACGGAAATTGATACTTCAATAATTCCGTTAAATATTTAAATAAGTTGCAATTAGTTCGTCAACATTCTTAGTTTCATTCAATCGTCTCGCTGTTCCACATTTTTACTATAAACGCATAAAATCCGCGGTCCTGTAATAAAAGTTTCTCGTTATGTTCTATAAATAATTACAAAGCTGGCCACTTTCACTATTTAATGCTACGACAGCTAGGAGAAGTTGCATGACTAACTTTAAGCAGAACAGTCGTCGGCCAGTGGTCGCTGATCGCATTAGGTCATCTAACTATCGGTTGTCATGGGGATATGCACTTTTGCGAAAAGAGTAGAACTAATTCTCACGTATTCCACAGTTTTCCAACTTAATTTACAACTCGATGTCCAAGGGACGCGATAGTAGAAGGTCGACACAACGGCAAGACACGCGATTAGATAAATCGATTTGGTTAAAAACGAAACAATAAAACTTCTGTAGATTCAAATGTTAGGTTGAGCAGAAAAGCATGTTTTAAAATCTAAAGAGACTACATCTCGTTCATAAGATATGTATATTATTTAATGAGAACATTATACTCTTTATTAATTTTGGATAAGAATATTATTCTTCAATAATATATTGGGCAAGAATATTATTTTTCAATAATATTAGGTAAGAATATTATTTTTCAATAATATTGGGTAAGAATATTATTCTTTCTTAATATTGGGTAAGAATATTATTTCTCAATAATATTGGATAAGAATATTATTCTTTATTAATATTGGGTAAGAATATTATTTCTCAATAATATTGGATAAGAATATTATTCTTTATTAATATTGGGTAAGAATATTATTTCTCAATAATATTGGATAAGAATATTATTTTTCAATAATCTTAGGTAAGAATATTATTTTTCAATAATATTGGGTAAGAATATTATTCTTCATTAATATTGGGTAAGAATATTATTTCTCAACAATATTGGATAAGAATATTATTTTTTAATAATATTGGGTAAGAATATTATTCTTCATTAATATTGGGTAAGAATATTATTCTTTCATTCGTGCGTGATTTCTCATCTGCTCGCATCGTATGCTGTCGGTCATTCTTTGATGTTCGAAACTCGCCGCTCGGCAACGCGTTCGTTCGAGCTGGTAGAAGTTATTTCGAAGATTTATTCGGAATATTCGAATGAAATTTTATTCGAAAAAGTGCCAACACCGCGGCACACATATTCTGAAACAGTTAGACGCATAAATTGCTCGGTAGTGTCCCAGCTCCATTGGAACCGAGGGCAAAGTAGCCACGCCCACTCCGACGATCCTTCGCATAGGGAAAGACCAAAGCGAATAATCCGACATGAAATTTCCTCCTCCGACGTCGCTTGGGATCAATCGAAAGTGCTCCGAAGAAGCAAATTGTTGGTCTCCGCTAAAATGAATGGAACGAGCTTGCTGCCGGTATAGAGTTTCCATAGGTGGCCTAATGGAATTGGTGGTTGTTTATGTTCCAGAGAGACGATACGAGTCTGCTCGCTCAGTTTTTCTACGCTGACGAGGCGTTGAACGCGGTCGCCTGCGAATTAGACTCCTTCGATGGCCGACAGGAGCCGGAGAGATGCACCACGCTGGTGAATCAGCTGCGCCATTGTCAGGACAAGGTGCTGACGATCTGCAGTCAGATAATGGACGAGCTGATACCGGAGAGCAGGGCGAACAGGGATTTCAGGGTGAAGTTCCCGGACGACGTGATGCAGGAGAATCTCGCAGGACAATTGTGGTTCGGCGCGGAATGCCTGGCAGCTGGCTCCTCAATCATGAACAGGGAAGCTGAAAGTTCAGCCATGAGGCCATTGGCGAAGGCCCTGACAAAGTCGCTGGATATCGTCAGGAATTTGCTCAGGGAGCACGCGCTGAAAGGTCACATGAACCTGAAGGTATTTATCTTCTTGCGTTACCGAAACCATTCTCCTATCAATCCTGATCCCCTCGCGACGTCTGCGGGAACGATAACGGAGCAACGTGTACGTCTTCTAACGGTGTCACGTTGTCATTACAGTTTTCGAAATTGAACACTCTTGTTGTGTCGCATCGATCTTCGTTTCGAGAATTTTTATGCGGACAGCTGAGCTCGAATGCGTGTTTGACCGCGTGTCTCGCAGGCGATGATTCTTGTTTCTTTTTCCGGTGAAAATAAATGATGGTAGAGAAGGAACTACGTATATTGTGATAACAACAAGTTGAAGTTTTCCCTGTGATATAAGGCTTTTTAACACGTTGAATGCCACGGGGGTCACCGGTGACCGGCACTTAACTTAACGGTGACGCCATGGGGGCCACCGACGACCGGCGCGCCCGAATTGATAGGAATATATATATATAATTTAAAACAAATGTCATTATCTAAAATTTTGTATTATTACCATCGTCAATTCAAACAGTGAGCCCTGTCGCAATTAACATGTGAAACATGGTTATACACTGTAACTTATCCGTTGCAGATAATATTTCAACATTATATGTATCACATAAAAGAAAATTCATCGTGGCGCCACGGACAATTTCTGTAAAATCGGCGTGGCATTCAACTTGTTAAAAATAATATTCTATTTGCTTTGTTAAAAATTGTTATTTCGATTGGATGGAACCGATTCGTTGATATAAATCTTGATGACACTTGGTGCGGATAATTATAGAAACAAAGTAACTTTTTTATACATTGTTACACTGTACAGTAATGTCTCTCTAATTGACACCCAAATTGACCACAAAAATGGACAAGTTTGGGAAGAGGAGATACGATTGTTCGAGCCTTGCGGTTTATTTTTATAGTTATAAATTGTCCACAATTATAAAAACGAGCCGCAAGGCTCGAATAATCGTATCTCCTCTTCCCAAATTATCCATTTTAGTGGACAATCTGAGCGTCAGTAAGGGAGACATTACTGTATTTGTATTTGTATTCGTATTCTAAATGCTAGTATTCGATGATAGATAGATTCTCTAATATCGATACAAAATTTTTCTAAGTCACGATTGTCCATTGTTAATATGAATTTTGTTATCGATACAAAAATAAAGAATAAATTGACGTTTTATTCAAATGTTCGAGTATTTGACAGTGTTTATACGCGACACATACAAATTTAGAGTGACCATAATGTAGCAATCGCATACGAATACTTGATGAAGGGACAATTGTGGTTATAAAATCCGAGGATACTAATTCAATGATATCGGATTTATATTGGAAAGAATCTGACGTAAAATTGCATCTGGCAGCGACTAATTCTTTCCCATGTGGGTGTAACGTAGTGGTGGGTCGTTAAATAAAAAACCACTAGGTCACCCGAACTAGCATGGTCCCCGAGTCCCGGAAATATGAAATCATTCCAGCGAGACAAAAGGAGATAATTGAAGCTGCCAGTTTCAGAATCACAGAAATTTGTATTTCAATACTGCAAACACTGTTTCCCGTTAAAACGAACATTGTAACCTGCTATATTTAATGCTACTCCTATTATTTAATTCGATCAATTGTCCTATAAAAAGTTGTTAGACTGCAACACAAAAAGACACAGTGTCGATTGTATAAATTTCAAAAAAGGAACTCTATCTGATATCGAAACGAATTTGTAAAACGATACTTCTTAAAAATTTGAAAATTAATTTTTAAGCATAATCGATGTGATGCAACTTAACTTTTCAATTTTTAAATTTGACTAAATAAAATACTTATTTTAAATATTTAATTTTATGAAATTGTCGAGGTTGTTGGAATGGCCGTCGAAGTGTTAATTTCCCTAATAGAATATCACAATTTTTGTTTTTTCTTTTAGATCTCAATTTACTTTCATTACTGCGTCATGATAACAGAAAAATAAAATTTTGTTTCGATTTAGAAGAAATTAAAAGAAGTTTTCAGTACGAGTCTGACTCATAGTTCTGTTCCAAGGGGTTAACATTTAGAGTAACTATAATGTAGTAATCACACTTTTTCGTTCTCGTCACAGCGATATCCTCTTTAGTCGTGAATACAGCACAGGTATCGCGCATCTCGGTACTCTCTACTTTGTTCGTGTATAGAACCGTTGCTATACACTGTTTAACAAAATAGAAAGGAAAGCAGCGTTGCCAAGTGACGGTAATCTAAATAAAGTAATTTACGTTTCATTGAATTCTTCGTGAACGCGTCGTCCATAAGATAGTTAGGAAACCCCAAAGAAACGAAAAACATAGAACATAGAGGAGGATGTAATGGTGATAGTAGTTGGAAACGATGGCCAAACTAACTTTTCTATTGGTAGTATCTCTTTCAGACGCAGAACCCGCTGGACCCGTCGTTGGAGAAGCTGATCGAGTCGCTGAAGATCTTCGATCGCCTGTTCTCCGATTTCGAGCTGTGCTACGTCGGCGCTATGGTACCGGTGAAATCGACCAAGGAGTACGAGCAACAGGAACTCGTGTGCGTTTTATTTTCGGAGACGCTGCAGAGAGCTCTCGAACGTGGATTGCTCAGCCAAGCTGACGTGGATAATTACGAGCCAGCCCTGATGTTTACAATTCCCCGTTTGGCGATTGTTTCTGGCCTCTTGGCTCCGCCTGGAGGTCCGCTGTGCCTCAAATCACCCGATAACATTAGTGAAATGTTTAGGCCGTTTAAGGTGAGCCATCGAACCGCTGTAACAACCGCGATTCAATAAAGTTTATATTCGGTTTAGCGAAAATCGCTGATAGCGTGAGATATTTTGTTAGATTTACTTCTATTGCCGAGTCTCCGATGACGCAAAACAGCTTCGGTTGTTGACTTTTCGACTGCTATTTTGTCATAGTCACTTTCCTCTGTTCTTTTGGCATACAATGAAGTTTTACCCTTTGCACTCGAAGCTATTTTAATTGTAAATATATAATCATTTTTCTCACTTATAGTATTTTTTATTTTATATGATAAAATGCATTTTATGCGTATGAAATTGATTCTTGGGACTCGCACAACGGTTACGCTCTTGACAATTTTTTAAATCTAAACTTTGTTAATACAAAAATTATCTTAAAACGTGATATAACAAATTTTAGTGGTGCCTCTTAGTCACCATTCGAGTGCAAAGGGTTAAAGTATTGGCCCATTTTCCTGCAGAATTAATTAAGAGATTGGGACACTTAGCTGCGTTGCCTTTTGCATTTCATTCTTAAAACTTCGAACTACTACTTAACAGAAAAGATTCGATTTGTCAAAGTTTTAATTCAACCCTTTAACATGGTGCACAAAGTTGAAGAAAGCGACTGTGCAAAATTCATTTGAAAATTGTTCAAAATATGCATTTTGGGTCAAGTCAACTGATACGCGTATGGGTTAATATCATGAATGAAAACGATGGTAAAAGTTGTCAGGCAACTCCAATATCTGGAGATGATTGAACGCTTGCTTAAATCTATATTCAATTTTCATATAGCTTGCAGGAAAACGGACACATGTACTCATTTTTATGTTAATATTTTATTCACGCGCGGCGATTGTAATCGCTGTATTTGCCATACGGTTAGATCATCGATCGAACTTATTTTAAAGTAACAAGAATTCTTTACCTGTGCATAAAATCTTTTATAAATAACGAGAAGAGGGAAATCAATTAAACGTTTACATCTATAAGAAAGTTATTATGATAAGTTTGTTATTAGCATCACATTAATTGCGTGTATATTTTCTTGTATCTTAAAAATTTGTATATGTCGCAGAGATATAAAAATCCACAGTATTTACTGAATGATTTTATTTTGTTACATTTTTAAAAATGTTTTATAAGAAAGAGCACTGCATTGCAAACAATATTGTAAATATCAAGACTCGTCTGTTGGTTTACTACAGACTATGGATTTTATGCATTTATGAAATATGAACAAATTAAATGAACCTAAGAACTTAATTAATATCTCATTCTAAGCTTGCTGAAATCATTACAGAAAGGGTGCAATTTCTGTTCAACGTCCATTTCTTGCAATTAATGCNGTTCTTTTGGCATACAATGAAGTTTTACCCTTTGCACTCGAAGCTATTTTAATTGTAAATATATAATCATTTTTCTCACTTATAGTATTTTTTATTTTATATGATAAAATGCATTTTATGCGTATGAAATTGATTCTTGGGACTCGCACAACGGTTACGCTCTTGACAATTTTTTAAATCTAAACTTTGTTAATACAAAAATTATCTTAAAACGTGATATAACAAATTTTAGTGGTGCCTCTTAGTCACCATTCGAGTGCAAAGGGTTAAAGTATTGGCCCATTTTCCTGCAGAATTAATTAAGAGATTGGGACACTTAGCTGCGTTGCCTTTTGCATTTCATTCTTAAAACTTCGAACTACTACTTAACAGAAAAGATTCGATTTGTCAAAGTTTTAATTCAACCCTTTAACATGGTGCACAAAGTTGAAGAAAGCGACTGTGCAAAATTCATTTGAAAATTGTTCAAAATATGCATTTTGGGTCAAGTCAACTGATACGCGTATGGGTTAATATCATGAATGAAAACGATGGTAAAAGTTGTCAGGCAACTCCAATATCTGGAGATGATTGAACGCTTGCTTAAATCTATATTCAATTTTCATATAGCTTGCAGGAAAACGGACACATGTACTCATTTTTATGTTAATATTTTATTCACGCGCGGCGATTGTAATCGCTGTATTTGCCATACGGTTAGATCATCGATCGAACTTATTTTAAAGTAACAAGAATTCTTTACCTGTGCATAAAATCTTTTATAAATAACGAGAAGAGGGAAATCAATTAAACGTTTACATCTATAAGAAAGTTATTATGATAAGTTTGTTATTAGCATCACATTAATTGCGTGTATATTTTCTTGTATCTTAAAAATTTGTATATGTCGCAGAGATATAAAAATCCACAGTATTTACTGAATGATTTTATTTTGTTACATTTTTAAAAATGTTTTATAAGAAAGAGCACTGCATTGCAAACAATATTGTAAATATCAAGACTCGTCTGTTGGTTTACTACAGACTATGGATTTTATGCATTTATGAAATATGAACAAATTAAATGAACCTAAGAACTTAATTAATATCTCATTCTAAGCTTGCTGAAATCATTACAGAAAGGGTGCAATTTCTGTTCAACGTCCATTTCTTGCAATTAATGCGGACAAAGTTTACTGTATTTTATTCCCATCCATTTCGTCGGACTAACGATAACAATACTGAACAACCGCCCTCTTCGTTTCAGACGCTGCTTTTAAAAATCCGGGAGCTCTTATGGACGCTGAATAACCGTGAGCTGTACATGCTCGAGAAACTGTTGTGCTCGAACGAAGAGCCGTCGGGTCCTATCACGCACTCGTCGAAGTCCGCGTGCCAGGACATACCAGACCTGGAGGAGTTCGTTCACAATTTTTATACCGGTTATCCGAACTGCAAAGACTTCATCGTAGATTTTTACACAGTGACGAGGAACACGGGAAACAATATGGACGAGGTGGCGAACGACGTGGTTCAAGCGTTAACGGAAGAATGCGAGAACGCGGATCGTTCGCCGGAGATGAGGTGTGACCAAGAGGAGGGCGATAGGCACGCGGGCACGAGGATGAATGATGTCGAATACGGGCCTAATCGTGTGTACGTGTCCGCGGACGGGTTTCACGAGAGTGCCAGGTGTAACGGTGGCGCGAGGACATCCAGTGAACGAGAGAGTGTCGGTGATGAAGTGCAATACAGCGTGAAGAAGGCTTGCAACGCCAACGTTGGCAGGCGGCAGTCCTGCGACGACGGCCTTAGCTCCAGAAGAGAAGAGGATAACGCTGATTCGGTTTATCTCACGGTGCAGGCAGCGGTTGCACAGGGTAGCGCGGAGAACGGTGCGTCGATCAGCAGCGAGAATCAGGTGAGTCAACAGCAGCAGCAGCAGCAGGACGACTTCATGACTTCCGACATCTCCGAGATCCTAGATGGCTCTGAGAACATAGAGATTCCGCAGACTCAGTACCTACTTAACCAGGTATCCCACGAGAACAACGTGTCCGGCGAGACCATGCACATCCAGAACTCGCTGCCGGATTTGGACTCGAAGAAGCTGATCTCCGAGGCGAACAAAACCCTGTCGAATCTCCTGTTGGACAGCGACTGTCAGAACGAGATCTCGGAGCAGACCGATTCCGGGATCTGCACGGTTTTGTCCTCGGAGAACACCAGCCTCTACGATAAGAGCCCGGAGGAGAAAAAGACGTTCGCGAACGAGATCCAGCAGGACGACCAGATCTTGGACGACGAGGACACGCAAGAGAACACCAGCTACTCCTGCTCGAATCTCAACTCACCGAAGAGAAAGAGCTCCACGATCTCGGAGAACTCTTGCGTCTGTAGTCTGAGGAGCGTGAAACCGGCCCCGCCTATGGATAATTCGATCGAGGTGCACAATCTCCACTCGAGCAGCACCGAGGCCGCGAAAAACATTCCAAGGATATCGTCGAACTTCGACGGTACCAACGAGGAGTTCGTCGGAGTCGCCTACGGGAACGGCCACATCACCGTCTGCGACTCGAACCAGTCCAGCTTTCAGATCAACTACACGGAGAACTGGGAAAACTTGAATCTGAACATCGACGCGTCCACCTCTCGCCGGGAGTTTTGGTGCGACCTGAAGTGCGAGAACTGTCCGTCGACGTCGCAGAACATCGGCAAGATAGGGACGAAGATCGAGCATTACGCGAAGGAGAAGATCGTATCGAGGAAGATGAGGGACGAGAAGCAGAAACGGAGACATCATCGCAGACACGATAAAAGCGGCCCGCTGATTCACGGGACCCAGGATACCAGGACCACCTCGCATTTCCAGAGCGTGTATTGCGCGACCAGCACAGAGAGCTCCAGGTCGAACTCGACCGACCGGTGCTTGAACCCTAGACTGATCAGCTACGGCGCCAGTTTACACCCGAGCCAGAACACTAGGCAAATGCCGAATTTCGGGAGCCACAGTCCTCACGCCAGCCCGAGGATGCAGCACTTCGAGCCGCGTAGTAACGGCCAACGAACTTGCAGCATCGCCCTCAGGACGCAAAGAAACTTGTCGCCGCATAACAAGAAGCTTCTGGATCACAGGAGATCTAGGTCAGAGCAAATCAGCCGGATGAAGAGGAGGGACGTCGAGAAGAGAGACAAGTACGACAGGGTTAATACTCGCTCCGAGCAGACCAAGAGGAAACTGGAGAGCAGAAGTCCTAACGAACTGATGAACGATGGTTTGGGACCAAGGACGGACAAGAGTGGCTTGGTGGCGGAGCCAGTTTCCCCGGTGATGCCGCAAAACGTTCCTTACGGAGTCCAGAGTTTAATAAAAGACAATAATACACAGAGAACCGTTCGCGCGATAAGACTGGTCAATGCGACGACCGTTTCTGGCGCGCAGTCGTTCAACTCTGATCGCTCGCTGATCCATAAGCCGGACGTCGGGTCCAGCTCCAGCTGTTCCAGCTGCTGCGACTCCAGCTCCGAGACCAGCGAGTTCCAGAGCGACTGCCAAGATGACGAAGAGATTGCGCTTGCGATGCAGGCAGCTGAGATCGCAAACAGGAATCAGATACGGGCGAAGTTTCGGTAATGATGATCTTTTATGCTTGCTCGCGGCAAGGAATTAATCCGAGTTTGTCTTAATTAGCTCTTTCGACGTTAGCACCGACGTGAAAGTATCTCGCGTTGTTTCAGATCGTCGGAGGATCTTGTTCATCGACTGTTCGTCTGTATAGCCGGTGTGGCGGATCAGTTGCAGACGAACTTTGCCTCGGACCTGCGGAATATCTTGAAGTGCGTGTTTTTGATGAACAGTAGTCAGACCGTAGAAGACAGCGAGGTGAAGGACGACATTTTAACCGCAGACGATCAGATAGCAAATCCTATAAACGATACGGGTACTAATCACGAGCGACAAGACTCGTTGCAGGAATATGAAGACGATCTGGAAGATACGACTGCGACTAACGGCCAAAATACAAGTACGTCATGCTCGATATAAGAATTATAATGATCAACCCTTTCGTGGACTTGCAAGCAGTTCTAAACAGATTTTAAAACTCTAAATGGTAATATTTGTTGCGCTAACCGTATGTGAAAATAAGAAATATTTTGTTACTTGGAAATAACCATAATTAGACTACAAAATCTCGGTACAGATATTCTTTAGCTGACTAAAGCCGGACTGGGTTAGGTACTTCGGAAATTGCATATAAAAATGTGTAACTAAAAATTAAATGGTAAAGTTGTTAAAATTGTCCTTCTTGTTCAAACTATTGTTTTCTCTAAGCTGTACATCATTTGAATATCATTTTAAATATCGCTTTTTTAAGTTTTAAGCATTCCTGCGTTTGGTCAGGAATACAAGACCTTCGCATTACTGACATTCTATTAACATTTGACTTCGATCTGCAGATTCTCCGATAACCGAACGCGGTGAAGAGTGCGTGGAACGTGCTCCAGCTTGGGTCCCCGACAACGACGCGCCACGGTGTATGGCTTGTCAAGCTGGCTTCACCGTAGTGCGACGGAGACACCATTGCAGAAATTGTGGCAAAGTGTTCTGCGGTCGTTGCAGTAGCAACAACGTTCCCCTGCCACGTTACGGGCATACGAAACCCGTGAGGGTGTGCAACAGGTGTTTTCTCTATCAGGTGACGCCGTTCACCGTTTCCCAAGTAACACCTGCGAGCTGAACATTAACAGAACAAGGTATACATTAGGGAATCGTTTCCTTTCTCTTCATTGAATATCTTCTTGTTAATATTTTTCGGGCATTCAGCTATGTGATCATTCGATTCCTTCTTCTAGTAGGGACACAGTGTTTCGATGGTCGATCCTTGAAAGGGAACTTCGTCAGATGTTGCATCGATATTAAAATATATTAAACTGCTTGAGTTACAAAGGAAGTTGTATGTCATTCGCTTGAATAATTGCAAATTGGCACAAGGATAGTGACATTAAAGATATTCATAAATAGGTATGTGAAATATGTTTACGTATCAGAAGAGGGAGTTAAGCAGAAATTTGTTTCTTGTGTTAATAATTCACTAGTGTAGTTCATGAAATGGAATGCATAAAAAGTTGTGACATACAAATACAAACTTAGCGATGTTTCTTTTTATTTCTTCCCAGATATAGTTTTCAAAATGGTAAATGAGAGCGAATATGTCAAGTGAATGACTCCTCTATTTTATTTATGAGCCTTATAACTTCAAACTGTTATTCTCGCAAACTAATTTAACATCTGGCAAACTTCCCTTGGAGATAAAACGTTACGCAGATGTAGTTACACATGTACGTGTATATACGCGCGTGCCGAGTATATTAAAATTCGACAGTACCGTGTTGTTTCGATTTTTCATTGACGTTTTTTGGTTGTTTTATTATTGTACGACATTTAATGGAGAAATTATTAATGTCGAAAAATATTTCTTTAAAGAGAATTTATTATATCTAGTCGATGATTAAACTTGTTAAACTTGTTTCTTTTCAAATAATGAAGCTTGATAAAAGTCGAAACAACATGGATTACTAGTTAAATCGTTCTTTACGTTGATTTCTATACTTGCACGCACCTAAAATTAAATACGTCGGCGACGATCGTAACTATTTTTACACGCCGTTATCGAACGATTTTTATCCTAGCTGAATTCCAAAAAGAGTTGTATCATAGTTTGAATTCTTCGAATCTTGATCTTGTATTTCGGAAAAAAAGAACAAAAGATTGAAAAGAAGAGACGCAGTTGTCGTTTAAGATACACGATACCATTGTACAGATTATTCCTTATATTGTATATCGATTTCGCCCTTATCTTTTTTATCCTCTTCATCGACGTTCCGTTTAGATTTTATCTTCCCCCCCTAGGTGTGTTTGGTTACTACGAGCGTTCGAGTTTCCGATTTTGTAGTCCCGTGCTTTGTTAACGCGAGGATCGATTTCTTTATACAGCTGGTACCATCAAATGTAGACGAAACTAAAAATAAACCTCGTAATTCGCTTTAGTTTCTCCGTGTGGTCGTGTTTTCACGTTACATTCCTTTTTGTGATAAAAATTACCTTTTGCTCTTTTATTAGCAGAGGTGATGGATGTTGAGTTCAAATGAATGATCAATAGTTTTAGGGCTTACCGCATCAATGATTTGATAAAAAAGACTTTCTTAGGATGCGTTCTCTTTTTGAATATTAGAGATATTTTACATGATTACAAAAACGAAGGAGTGACTAATTCGTTAAAAATATTTAGTTACACAGGATGAGTTACCGTATAGGGCTGGAATCTGAAATTCGTTTTCTCGGGTATTGAAAAACCTTTTGTTTTTATTTTAATAACATGTAGTTTCACTTAGGAAAATGTTGGAATATTTATCTATTCAAAAGAAATATTTTACTACATAATATAGAGTTGTATCGTTTCATGAAGAAAACGTTGTAACATTTCATGTTCCAGTCTCGGGTGATTCACCTTGTATATTGATTTTCCCATACTCATGCATAGTGTGCATTCTGCTTGTGTTGCTTCATGTCTATGTTTATGGTGCGTACTGTATAAACGCGACTCGTGTTCTCCATTGGCTCGATCGTTTTGTAAAAAGAAGGTCGAAGAAGATCGTCGTAGACTTAATAATGTAAACTGAATAGCTGCGAGAGTCAAGGGACGTTTCGTTGTAAAATAGAGATACATTGTATTTATATATACACATACATATACACACATACATACATATGTATTTAATTTTGGAATATACTCTTTTTAGGTGAAGCGCAAGAATCTTAAATAAGATAGTAAAACAAAAACGACAAAAAAAGTGAAAGAAAGAACGAAAATTCGAAAGGAGGGGATGCATCGTAGACTGAGAGACAAATCCTTGCGCCGAGTTGGACTTTAAACTATATCAACCGCTCGCTCAGCGATAGTGATCCAAGTGATTTCTAAATTTTTAATATAATAAACTAGCGAGAAGAGTTGCGAGTAGTCAAAGTGTGATTGTACTATAATCGTGACCATCGATTCGACGAAACGTTTATAAAGGGTGTGTCTGAAATGAAAAGGAACATTGAACAATTGCCATGTTTTCCCGTTTTCGAGAACATTGAATTTGAATATTCAAGTATGCTCGATGCCGATTCAATTAACCGATGGCAAGCACAAGATCTCAAGTCGAATTTTCAAAACCGATCGTCTCGAAAATTAAATCTGTTTAGAACAAATTTTATTTTCTATTTTCCATTTAGTTTTGTATGAAAAATTACCAGCCCTTCTTTAACGCTACACAATTTCAGATGTACCCTCTATTGCGAGTGTCCTAATTTATCTTTCGCATTCAGCGAATACCGAGGAAACGTATTTGCTTCTGTTCCAAGAGACGTTGTTGCTCGGCTTTTCCCCTGCTCAGAAACACAAAGTAGTTCTTTGTAGTATACCTAGTTTGGACCTGCAGTTAATTGACGACAATATGTTCGTCGTCTAACAAACGAGGAGACCAAATCGTCGATTATTCACAAAAAGGTAGCCTCGACGATGACCTTCGGATATGCTGTCAACGTCCCGAGTAACTTTGTTTATATCTTTTCAACTACAGCCGAGCGACGGTTATATAAAGTAACGTTATTTAGGACGTTGCTTCGATAACATATTTAAAGGTCGTCGAAATAAGTGTGACATGCCTCCTTGTCAATAACCATGCGCTGGCAAATCGGAACACCGTTCTGGAAGCTTGTGAACTGCGATTTTTAAGAGGTGTCCTGCGATCCGATTGATCTGTGCAGCATCCACTCGCAGAGGCACGTTACTATCGCTTGTGCCAAATTTTCGTGACAATAAGTTCCCAGCTGGTTACGCGGTTTTCCGCGCGTACAATTTAGGGGAGTCTACGTGATCTCTTCGGTATCGTAGTTCGGATACACAAAACATAGATCAGCCCTGCAGATGCTATATCAGTTCTCCAACGTATACGGGGAATTCCCATGAGCTCTTGATTGTATAATGATCGTTGTACTAAATATCCTTCTCTGTATCTGACTGGGTCTGAATCATGTATCTCGAGATTAAGGCCATCGAGACCCAAGATCGGAACATTGAGCTGAACTGTCTGCTGTCAACAGCTCTCTCCTGAGAAGGTTGCGATGTTGCCGCTTTGACATAGCTATCCTTGCACATCTTACGTATATCTTGTGTCCATTGAGGACTGCAACTCTGCCAGACGTCGACATCAGAGCCAGCTCGTCGGCGGTCTGTACATTGCCCCAATCCATCTCTTCTCGCGGACGACATAGGGGGCAGGCTCACCAGCCTGCCATGTTCTTCACTGTGTCAAGAAACTTGATGCACGATTACATGCTCAAAGATGTCGTCTTCTCCACCGTTGGCATCGCTTATACCATAGTCTATAATCGCAGAAAAAAAAAAGTTCACTCGCACACATCTCACACAAAATTGTGCATCGCTCTCAAGCTATGGGATTCGCACAGAGCTAGGAGATGACCATACGAAGGCGCTGTCAGTTACGATATAGCTTAAATTTATCTTTTCAATGAACTGAATTCCGTCATATGCTAGAGATTACTTTCCTGGTTATGAATTCCGAAAAAGGTACGACTCCCACTTTTACGCCACGCTAGCTTTTTCTCTCTGTTTCAGAGGCGAGGAACACGAGGCTGTAAACTGTTTGTTAGAGTAACTTCGAGAAGATACAAAATTCTAAGGTTTTCACTCGTCAGAGGTTCTGGGGTAAGTGCCGTGCGGTCTGACAAGATCTTGTTATCAAAATGTGACCTTTTTTTTTCTCCCTACTCTATGACCAAAGATCTTGCAAGAAAAATATTTTTATTCTCGAGGCAGTACAACTTTATCAATGAGTTTTGAATTCATCGTGCAAGAGACTTCCGGTTTATGAATCAGGACATCGATAGTTTATTTTCTTACACTCCCTTCCATGACCGCACGTGGCCTAACACCCTACCATAAATCCTTGATCGACGAATCCAATTTGATTTAAAGGACGCTGACACTAATAGACAATTCCAATCATGGAGTATCCTATAAACTCTGTCCAGGATTAGCATTGCGAACTTCTGTCTCCACGTTTCGAATTCAAGTGGTTTTATAAAGCTCTTTCTTGCTTCAGAATTTGATGTACAATAAGGGAAACGAGGAATCATCAACGATAGTAAAATTGACAAAATTTCGAAAGTTCTGTAAAATATCCTTTTTATATGTAACGCATTACATATTTGAATTATTGTCGATGATACATGATACAAATCAATAATGTTGTTGTATACTGGTTTCAATTTTATGGCAGAATGTGATCATGTAATCAATTTAATTTCAATTTTCTATTTGCACAATATAAAACTACGACTGCCAATAATTATCGATAAGTTAGTTGTTGTCACATGCTGTCATTGTCTTGTTCCATAGATATTAATGTTCTCGAATCTATCCTACAACATTAGCTGACTTTAATTAGCGTTAAGATTTTCATTGCGGTATCAAAATTTATATAAGCTACGATCTTAAGATAAAATCTTGTATTAATTAGAAGTATAGATCGATTCTACTCTTTTCAGTGATTTCGGTGTAACAGTGTATCATTACATTGTTTAACGTGTACGGAGGCCACAATATCTGGAAATGTTCTCAACATCCGATGTCAAGCGATCTCTAATTATTTTGAATAATGCTGTAAGAAAACTTGTAAATAACACTGAAAATTGCATCATTTTTCTGTACTTCAAAGTAGTTTGATACATTCTCCTGAATTAATATTTCGTTCATGTATTGTCTAATATTAGGGTAGAGCGAGGTATAGTTAATATGTATATTTCCAAGTGATCAAAATACATGGACGTGAAGAACTAGTAATAATTGTAATCTCGAGGTAATAGCGTTGTACCAATGAATTCAATGATTACTCTGTACGGATTCGGTAATATTACCATCGTTAGTCACGACTGTTTACATTGATCACATCGGGCGTCTGTCATACTTCAATGTTAATCCGAAATTTAACCGATTCTACAATGTTAATCCTGCTGACTAGATAAAAATCACAAAGCTTCGACAGATTCTCACACATACGAGCTCATGGTTTTCCCATCGGATAAAATCGCGTACACTGTAAACAATAATTTTAAGACGCATACGTCGGCCCATTCTTTCATTTTACAAGTGTCAACGAGTCCCCCATCTGTATATATGTACCGAAACACCCTGTATAAAACTCTATGGAGTAATCAACTGGCTGGTGGCTTCGACGGAAGCGGTCCGAAGTCAGCGTAAAATTATCTCTAAAAACGAAAAAAAAAATAATAACAATGAAAAACTATTACTGAGTGTTTGTCAATGTGGATCATCGTGTCCGTCGACTGTCCGCAGGCGTTCATAGCAAGTGGAAATATGTAGTTCGAAGCGCACGAAATGCGTTCACCGTCTTCGAAAACGATATCGGCGTACAATTTCCTTACCGAGCTGTAGAACAGGACCGCGTGTGCGACGGCGCTTCTAGAGCGGGTAAGAGGCGGTCTAGGAGAAACAACGTTAACTTGGCGTTAAAAATTTCACATTCCGTTGCATCGGTGTCGGCGTGATACAGTCAATAATATCTGCGCGAGAAACCTATAAAAACATGGAGCAGCAACGGTGTTTGCCATTGTTGTTCGACGATTCGAAGCGATTCAGCGATTAGAAAGGGGTCAGGGAATAAATCGTCCGACGAATAATTTTCGATCTAGTGGCTCAAGTTATGCCTTCGATACCGATCGAGGCGTGTCCGAGACGCGCGATCTGCTCGCAGGTCTTTTGAACATTGAAGGATGCGTATCGCGGAAAACGCTTCCGCGGCCTGGTAGGACTGTCAAACTAAAGACTTCTCTAAGGACATACATACATACATACATACGTTCTCTTAAGAAGCACATCGATATTAGGGAGTGTCGCGGAAAATACGAACTAAGCTTAGGATGAGAGTTATTTTTTACACGCAATCGATGCCTTGCTCTAGCATATTGTGCTTTCTATCTTTTACGTAAACGACCCTTCGCACTCGAGCTTACGAGTCGTAGGTATTCACATTGATTACTCTTCTGTTAATTCATCGTAATATCGGGGCTTGGAAGCTGCTTTTAAAATGCATTTAAGATCCTTGCGTGGAACCTTCGTCTCGAATAACTGTTACGGAGAATTCCGAAGTTTCCAATATCGAAGAAATTTCAAGCCCCGGCCAAGTACCATTTCTTCGTCCGTTGACCAGAGGGGATCGTCTTCAAGGAATAAAATTAATCCTCGTATACCCCCCAAAGAAACATTTGCCCGTTTTCTATTTTAGATATTGTAAAATTTTGTATTTCTTTACGATTGTCCTGCAATCCGAATGCGTTCGTTTCAAATGTCAAATTACCAATAAACGTATATATTAAACCCTCTTCTTATTGTGCTGGGTCAATTCTGACACATGCATAAACTGTTAGAACGTAGAGCACGTATCGGTATACTCGAAATGAAAGAATTCATTGGATATGCTACAGACAATTCATTTGAAATAGTTACGCGAGTAATGATGAAACGATGTCTTATTTTTAGAATTACAAAATGACAGGTGTTGTACAGTACAGTTTATCATTGTGTTTAGCTGGACTTTATTAGACGGAGTCCGACTGTAATATACAAAATAAAAAGAAATCGTACAGTTTAGTGGGCCACGAGTAAAACTAAAAGTGACAAACAAACAAAAAATCAACAAGTTTCGAGACACAACGTAGGTATACACATTCAAAAAATCATTAGCTGTTCATACCGGGTCCAATAAAAGGATCAACATCGATCTCGACGAAGAGAGTTCAAAGATAATGCGAAAGAAAATGAATACTTTCAAATTTAAATGGATCTAGCAATGGCTGCCATGAAAATTAATAATCGAAATTAAAAAAAAAAGAAAAAAGAGACATCATTTTAGCATACTGTTCTACACATATTAAACGAAAAGAAAAATGTAAGACAAACCGCAGTTCTCTTAAAATTGACGATGCGTACCCATTCAACCCTTTGCCTTACAATAGATTAAGACGTCGAACACGAAGCTCACACACACACACACACACACATTTGAAGGTCTCTTTAAAATCGAGATAAAAATTCTTTTCATAGAGTATCGATATTTAGCTATAAATGTAGAGCGACACCGCGTAAACATAAATTCCCTTCTGCGAAAATCACGGACGACAAACGAGTCCTAAGCTAAGACAGAATCGGGCAAGGAACGAAGACGATCCCGTCGGACTGGTGGAATGAAAATAAATGGTATGATTCGATTCGTGAAAACGAGAATGTCCCATCGATGCATAGAGATCGCTGCAACCTTTTAGGGCACGCAGATATCCCGTTGGTCCTCGATTTGGTCTTTCGTAGAGTGTTTCGTACGCGAGGGTCGACCAATCGGACCCGCCTGACAGTTTCACGTGCTCTTTCTTCCAATTCTGCGCGCGTATATCGTTCCAATGTAATAGCAACCAGGAGTTCCCCTGTGCCTAAATGTTGCAGGCTAGTCTGTGCGTCGAAAAACGTGCGATGGGATGAGTTAAGAGCGAAAGAGAGAAAAAGAGAGAGAGAGAGTGAGAGCGAACCAGATGGGAAAAACGAAATACGAGAGTGAGAGACGACGAGACGAAAAAAAAAAGTGATCCCCAGCGGTAGGGTGCGCGTTCAGAGTCGATGTCGCAGCGAACGCGATCTGCCAATTAGTTAGGAAATTCCAACTACGAGGAGAGAGAAGAGTACCTCAGAATTATTTTTGTATTATTTGCCCAGGTGTATGTGTATAAGCGTCGGCGACGCGGCACGCGTTCAAGATGGCATCCCGTACAAAGACCCGGACCCCTCGCCATTTTGGGAAACGAGTCCTCCTTGGCATCGAGTAGCAGGTTTCGTTGCGCCGAGTGCAAACAATAAGTAATCCATTATTCGATCCATTTTATTGATCCGTTCGATCGTTTCGTTCGTCCGTAAAAACTACCTGCCTTTCTATTCGTATTGTTCCAACCCCTGCAAAGGGTCGAAAAGTAAATCTCTGAATAACGTTCGCGATACGAAGACTGTGTCTAGAGCTTCAGGTCTTTCAGATTGAATTTATAGTAACTGTTAGAGTCAAGACTGCCATCGCTGTAAGTAACGTTTCATTCATCTTCGTTCTCCGTAGGAAATAATAATCGTGTACACTCGAGTGTAACGGTAGAATCGTTAGCGTATCTCCGAATTGTTCGATGGTTTGGATGCAGCGATTACAGTAATGTCTCTCTAAATGACGCCCGGATCGCGCACAAAAGTGGACAATTTGGGAAGAGGAGATACGATTGTTCGAGCCTTGCGGTTTATTTTTATAGTTATAAATTGTCCACAATTATAAAAATGTATCGCAGGGCTCGCACAATCGTATCTCCTCTTCTCAAATTATCCATTTTAGTGGACAATCTGAGCGTCGGTAAGGGAGACATTACTGTAATTGTTCACCTATTAGAATCAACAGGATCGAAGTTTCTCAAACCGATGTCGGAATGTTCCGCTGCCAAACGTTCTCTTTACGTGCCGTAGAAAGATAGTTGTATCCCATAGGAATATCCTAGAAAGATCGTTAAGAAGGCTTATCGGAAGACTATACGAAAACAGCCAAATCGTTTTTTTAAAACCTGTCACCTCCACGTGGGACTTGCTCGCGAGACTTTCTCATTTTATCGTTCGACCATCATCGATACGAAATGACCCTCGTTCTTCATATTTAATTTATAGATTTCACAACCGAGTATAATTGTAAGTAACTCGAAGAGCCGATCTTTCGTCGGACCGGCACAAGCATGGTTCTTCATTTCCAAGAAACGATTACGAAGTAGGGAGAAACACGCATATTGCCACGATTTCCTACGTACTTTTTTTCGGAAATGCGAGCGGTTGTTGAAGAGATCGGAGAAACAGAGCGTCGTCGACGAAATGAAAATGTCGTTAAATTGCACAAAAAAAAATATACAAACAAACTTGAAGTTGTGTCTAGCTTCGGCAGCCTTCACTGCTATTTGTAACGCCGTCACGACAAAGTGTACAATTTAATTTTAGTTTAACATATGGATCTGTTGTACGTAGTTAACGTTTGTAATTGTTCTTCGATCCGCCATGCTGGTTAAAATTCGCCATTTTCTGTTTCACGCGTCGGTAGATTGTTCCTCTGTTTCTCGAAGATACGAGACAAAGAAAACGTCGAAGCGTGAAACGAGAATGAATAAAGTCATGAATATTTTGTGCTCTCGGGGAACGCATGGGGTTTCGGTAAACGGGCTTCAAAATTTATCCAAGTTTATCGTTCGCTCTGTACGGCTAAGAAAAAATAATAAATAAATAGTGGATTACTTATCCTGCTCGATGAAAGCGTTGTTAGATACAACGAAGGATCCAACTTGAACGCTGGCTTCGTAACTCGGAAAATCGCCGTTAGCGTGTGTATGCAACAAAGAAAAACTGAGACGGAGAGATATGAGTATTTGGGATATTGAAGCGCGAGAGCATGTCTCAAACGATATTCCGATACCGTGGACTTTCGGTTACGGAGAGACTGAGATGCGAAATGTAAATAAAGTTTGTTATTCAAGGTGTTTTAAGAGGTGTTGTTGTTCAATGCTGATGCATAGGCCTCTTTTTCCGTACTACGAACGACTCCAGGTATTGTAAGATAGAGCTTAAGAGGAACTTAGTGGGGAGAATTAATATATGAATAAGTGTTACAATGTAAAATGTTAATATGTATATGAACGATGGCAATTTTATTAATACAATGATATTTTCGTTCAATATGGTGCCTTCTATAACCGCCGATCTTATCTTTATCGAACTACTCCCTTGGGAAGAAGCACGTTAAAACTTTGCTTAAGGAATATTACTCGTGATCGGATTTTAAGATTTTTAGATTTTAAATCGCTTTATCTCCCGCGAGAATCGTAAAACTTCTAATGGTTCAAATTAAAGCTGAAGATCGTACTTCGCGATTAAATTGTTTAGGCTTGCAGAAGAATTCGAGACAATGTCGGAAAGTTTCGGTCGATTGCTCGGAGGAAAATGATTGGTCTTAAGAGATTGTCCGTGGGAATTTTTGAACTTTTGAGTGCTCAAATTGAAACTGCAAGATCCCACTTGACGATGAAATGATCAATGTTTGCATAAAAATTCGAGATCATGTCGAAAAATAGAAAAATCCCTGTCAATAGCTTCGGGAGAAATGATTGAATCTTAAAGAGATTACTTCAAATCGATTTTAAAATATATTTCCGTGGGAATTTTTGAACTTTTGAGTGCTGAAATTAAAGCCGAAAGGTTGTAATTTGTGACAAAGTGAGGTTTGTAGGAAAATTCGGAATCGTGCTGAAAATGCAATTAAACGCTCAAAATACTACAAAGTATAATACTATATCTTTCAGTTTCTACCATGTTCCTTACATGTGTCAATGTTTGCAAAGAACTTCAACAGGTGTACTATAACAATCTCTATGAATGTATTGATTCCTCACCTGAGGCTATCGAGGAATCTCTTCACAATGTGCTTCCATGGTTACTAGTCAACAAGAGAAATTGCAATAGTCTCGGCACATTCCTTCGCGCACCGTTGTTTTTACCACTTGCTGTAGATTTTTCGTTTCATAGTTTCAACATAATAACCCTAGAATTTTTTATTTCGTTCGATCAAATTTCTTCACAGTTTTAAGCATCTTGGCCTTTCGATATTTATGCGTCTTAGCTTCGTTAAACGATTTGTCCTGATTTATGTAACATTGCAAGAGAGATTGATAATAAAAATTTTTTTTTTCTTAAATTGCATATAATTTGTTCCTTATTAATTGCGTTTGTGCAACTGGTGACTTGCTTTGATTTCACAAAGTTTCTGTAAACACCTCAAACCACCATCATGATGGACATGGAGATGAATGCTGGCTTGGACGTAAGTACATAATATAAAGTGTTCATATAAAAAATAATCAATAAATAAATGAGACATTTTATTTTACATTTCAGCAGACAATTTCCTAGTCTGATCATATATTTCCTAGTAGCTTTATGTATATTTAATACAGCAATTACACGCAACAGTTAAATTATCAGTTCAAGTATATCTTAATCATTTCATAATCTTTTATTAGTTACCAATAAAATACTTTTATGCGTCCAATGTGAAGACTACCGTTGCCTTATTCATATCGATTAATAATTAATCGATGACCGTGTTTTGTTTTCGATCTTTGATGTAACGATGAACCACACTCTGATGACGTTTATTATATTATACTAATAAACGAATATGATCGCCATAATTTTATTATGTTAATTTATCGTTCCCGGCGGTATTATAAGAACAATGGATGACGATAACGTAGAAAAACAAGACGGGCCAGAGAAGTTAAACGATGTTATTATTTCTATTGAATTATTTCAAGTATCTGTAACCTAACCGCGTCACTAATACCGATACAACATTTTTATGGAAAAAAAGAGCGACACATAATACGAGCAAAAACGAAGTTACATAAGAATTTCGAAGCACTGAAACTTGAAAAAAAAGATCGCATAAACTGACGATCCAGTACGCGGACGACATCAGTAAAAAAAAATTGCAGATGGAAGGTTAACTTCTTGCCGTCCTTCGATGAGTAGTATTATTATTATTATTGTTATTTATTGTCGATTATTATTATTATTATTATTATTGTTATTTATAATCTATTATTATTATTATTATTATTATT